ACCGCTGCATATCTGGACGACATCATAGTGATGGGTCGAACACCGGAAGAACTCTTCAACCGCTTGGATGAAGTTCTTGGTTGCATAGAGTCGTACGGTTTCCGGATCCTTGAGGAAAAATGCACATTTTTCACGCCGCTCATCAAATACCTCGGGTTTATCCTCGAAAGGGATGGACGTCGATCAGATCCGGAAAACATCGAAGCCATTAGAAAAATGCCTCCACCCACAGATCTACAGTCTCTGCTTTCCTTTTGTGGGCTCATCAGCCACTACAGCGCATTTTTGCCTGAGATGCACCGCTTGCGTGCCCCGTTAAACAAGCTCCTATCCAAAGGACAACCTTGGAACTGGACAGCAGAATGTCAGAATGCCTTCGAACGCGTCAAGTCACAGTTGTCTTCAAACTTGCTTTTGACCCATTTCGATCCCTCCAAAGAGATCGTCCTAACCACAGATGCATCAAGCCATGGGATTGGTGCAGTAATTGCACACACGTACACCAATGGATCTTAAAAAGCAATCGCCCATGCCGCCAGAACCCTTACCAAGGCCGAGAAGAACTACAGTCAGATTGAGAAAGAAGCATTGGCCATAGTGTACGCGGTTAAGAAATTCCACAAAATGCTATACGGCCGCCGCTTCAAGCTTCTGACAGATCACAAGCCCTTGCTAGCTATCTTTGGTTCGAAAAAGGGCATCCCGGCCTACACAGCCAACAGGCTACAACGTTGGGCTCTTACCTTAATGGGGTATGATTTCGAGATCCAATATCAGTCGACAGTTTCCATTGGCCAAGCAGATGCACTGTCACGTCTAATTGATACCCGTCAGCAAGAACATGAAGACACAATCATTGCCTCGGTGGAGATTGAACCAGACGTCAACTTTCTGGTAACGGATGCACTGCACTGTCTACCAGTTACCGCAGAAGCTGTGCGGACCGAAACACTTCGGGACCCAATACTCAAGAAGGTTACTCAGTTTCACAAAACAAGTTGGCCACGTTCATGTCCATCCGCCGAGTTGCAACAGTATTTTCGGAGGAGACACTCACTCTCTATTGTAAACGATTGCATACTATTTTCGGAAAGAGTGGTCATCCCCAAGACACTTCAGGAGCGCATTCTTCGACAGTTCCACGTCGGGCATCCTGGAATCAACCGGATGAAGGCGCTTGTCCGCAGTTATGTATACTGGCCGTTAATGGACAAACAGTTGGAAGAAATAGCCAGACGCTGCCAAAAGTGTGCCGATGTCTTGAAAGCACCACCGAAAGCAGAACTCTGTTCATGGCCAATAGTTACTAAGCCGTAGTGCCGCATTCATGTCGACTTTGCAGGACCGATCAACGGGAGAAGTTTCCTCATTATAGTCGACTCATACAGCAAGTGGCCAGAAGTATTTCTCATGGATAACACCACCACCAATGCCACCATATCGAAACTGCGCCAAGTCTTTAGCAGATTCGGCTATCCTGAAACAATGGTCACTGACAATGGCTCACAGTTTACTTCAGCAGCGTTTAAGGAGTTCTGCAAGCAATGCGCCGTCCAGCACGTTCGCTCGCCGCCGTTTCACCCACAGTCGAATGGCCAGGCAGAAAGATTTGTCGACACATTCAAGCGAGCCATCCAAAAATCAAAAGGGGAGGGACGTATGGAGTAGGTGGTTGACCGGTTCCTTTTCCTCTACCGATCAACACCGAATCCACAAGCACCAGACGGAGTCTCTCCAGCACAGGTTATGATGAACCGGAAGCTCCGCATGCCTTTCGACGCCATCCGACCGGGCTCGGATTTCTCTGTTGGTGAAAGAAACCGCAGAATGGAACAGGAGTTTAACCGGCGGCATGGAGCAAAGAAGCGATCATTCACGCTTGAACAGAAGGTGCTAGTACGTGACTACCGGGAAGGCCATGCGAAATGAACGCCAGGGACGGTCAAAAGCAAGCGCGGAAACGTCATGTATGACGTGAAGGTGGGAGCACAGGTCTGGCCGCGGCATGCAAACCAGTTACGTCCCACATTGTGCCAGCCAGAACAAGAAAGGCCTACTGACCTCCTGTTCGAATTACTGGTGGAAACTTTCAACCTGCCGAAGGTAACAGTGGACGACTGCCCAAGGTCGAGCAACGAATCCAGAACAAGAACATCGGAACAAAGTTCTCGGGCGCTTCTGCCAAGGAGGTGGACCGACAGGCAGAGAACACCGTCCCGAAGACTGCAAGTTAATCCTAGGCTTTCCTCTTACACCTCGGAACATATCTCAGGAGGGGAGGTGTCCGGGAGAAAGTAAGCATTGCCTTGGAAATTCCCTATTTTAGCGATTAATCGATTATTAACGATTATCGCATCGATTTCGAACGTTCCTGAATGTTCTTGTTCTACACGTGATCAAAATCCACCTGACCTCTGGGGAAAAGATTTGGGGAACCACTAACCTTGGCAGCTGACCTTCCAATTCTAGAAGTCGAAGGTCAGCAGAGACCTATAAATACAGCCAGGGTCCTCAGTCGTTGTACAGTGTTCGTTGGCTGCGATTAATACGTTATTTGTCAGGGTCATTGGCGTTCTGCTTTTTTCCTTCGGTTGGGCTAGAAGTTTTGCGGAGCAGTGAATTGTTATTTTTGGAGTTGCGTCTAGTGAGAAGATTATAACAGAACATCTGGCTTCGCCAGCTGGCTGGTGTCAATCCGTTCACATCGACGTTGCGGACGTCCACCGAAAGGCACTAGGAGGTCGGCACAGATAAGTGCGTGGTCAGAATCTACGCTCGTGCTCCAAATCGAGCGACAATTTTGGACACAGCCTCTCCAGCGGTAACTGATCGCGATATGATCGAAGCGAAAACAACAGGTTAGGTTCCGCCCTGGTCGCGGCTGCATCGATCAGATTTTCACACTCCACCGTGTGTATCAAAAGCCAACAAGTTTTTTGTATCTGGATATCCGTGCTGCTTTCGATTCTGTGGCACTGTATGTCGATGAATTACATTTCCAAGAAGTTAGTATCTGTGCTGCGCGCTCTGTATAGACTGACCTCGGGTAGTGTTAGAGCTTATGGCAAGCTTTCGGCTTCGTTTGTTGTCACCAGTGGGGTACGACAATGATGTCCTCTCTCTCCATTCCTAGCCAACTTTTCCCTTGAGGATATCCTCGAAAATGCTATAGAACACTTGCTGAACGCTGGCCTTGAGCTTCCCCCAGGTAGTCGGGTGGTTGAGTTGAATTATGCTGGTGATTCCGTTTTGTTAAGTGAGAGTCCCCAGACCGTACAACTTGAACTCAACCACCCGGCGATTAAAGCGTCGAAGTATAAAACACACTCTTTATCATCCAAGTGTAAAGCGCTTTGGCATGACAGGTATCTGCCCCTACCTGCGCTCACCATTGATGGGGAAACGTTAGAAGTGGTACAGTTATGTCTACCTGGCAAACTGCATAACTGTTGGTGGAGCTGTTGGAAACTAGATTTCGATGCGTATCGCAAAAGTCCGTCTCGCCTTCTTCTGGCTGAGCTATTTTTGGTGCCGCCATGACATCCGTCTCTCCATCAAAGGGCGGGTTTATAGTGCGACCGTCCACACTGTACTGTTGCACGGTTGCGAGACTTAGCCTGCTCTTGCCGATGACTTGCGCCGACTGTCTATCTTCGAGAACTGCTGTTTGCGGTCCATCGCTCGTGTGTGGTGGCTGAACCGCGTAACAAACGCTGAACTCAGACAGCGTGCCTTGGGTGGAGACAGCAAACCCCTAAAGGCGCTTGTCTCGCTGCGACAACTACGATGGCTCGGACACGCACTGCCTATGCCTGTCCAGAGTCTTCCGCGTCGTGCCTTGTGCTAGGTCACTGGGTAGGGCTGGAAGAGGCGGTGTGGTGGACAGCCTGCAGCTTAGAGAAGCAGAATAAGCAAGCGGACAAAACATCTGATTTAGGTTGGTTTTTCCTGACCCCCGGATGGGGTTCTAAAAGTGTTGAGTGCCGCTGGTTAGAAACCATGGAAGTCATGGCTCAATGCCGAACTCAGTGGTGGGCGTGTATCTTGACTTTTTGCGGTGATTCCCTTTCTCACCCCCAGTAATATGCATCCCAAAATCTCAAAGACGGTGAGAGGGAAAATGGACAAAATTACTTGTTTTCTTTCTTCTTTAAGCCTGTTTTTCTGTTCCGTCACGGTTCCGATGGTACAATATCTGCAGACGGATTGTGATATATATATATATATATATATATATATATATATTAAACACTTGACCAGAAACTAATTGGCCGGGTGCCGTTAGTGCCTGCCTGAATGATCCCAAGCTTGTCTTGTAATTTACGCGCGCGAGTTCGAGCCTGCGTGGGGACCGCGCGGCCCTGGCACCATCATCCTTAACCGAAGCACGACTGTTTCTGGTTTTGCGGCAGTGTGTCAATGTACTGCTGTTGCTCCCATTAGACACATCTTAGCAGGTATAAATACACGAGTTTCCCTTGACACAGAGTAACTGCTCTAGTGTCTACACAAGCGACAAATGCAACATCTCTTGTGGGATATCTGTGAAGTCTCTTCTTGATCTGAGTTACGCTGTCTCCCAGCCCAAGGGCGCAGGATTGCCAGGTCAACCGCATCGGGTACACGATACATTTTTACTGCCGCTACACCACCTAAGCGCATCTATCGATCAGCTAGGTCCATTGCTCACGTAGTTGGAGCATTATACCCAGAGGAACATCACGGATCATAGGATCTGCTACCAACTTTGATTCACACGCACACTAGTGGCTGCATAAGAGTTATAGACTCCCATAGAGTTCACCCACGATTTTTAAGGCTCTTTGGAATGAATTTTGCTACCTGGTACCTCGCCGTACGCGTATTTGGCTGATCGAATTGTCTAAATGACTTTGCCTCCTAGTCATTGGATGAGAGCTTCCACTAATAGATTTCAGTTACAATATTTGTGAAGGAGGTTATGCAAATAAAACTCGATCAATGAGCATTAACAGACTTACGCGTCATGGTGCTGGGGGCATGCACAGACAAAATGCCGTCTGTGGTCATCTTAATCAGCAGCTGCATGGCATGTTTGTTGTATTCTGCAAGTGCATTTAACGCACTTTCGATGAGTTGTGCCTCATCAAGGAATTTTCTTGACTCCTTCAAGGATACGCTGATCAGTTCCTCAGATGTTTTCTGAAAAGTTGACAAGATTTCTTCGAAATTCGTAACTGACATGTTATCCAGCACTGGAATCTGCTGCTGAATACAATCAACGATCGTGGCCAATGAAATTGGACTGGAGACAGAAATTTCATTTTCGGTGGTTTCATCGACATTACTAGTTAGCTTTTTCTCTAGCTGTTCTTTCATTTCTCTCTGTTCCTTCGTCTTTATTCTGTCCAGATCTGATATTTCATCTGTATTGTTTTCGTTGGCCCATTGTCCATCTGCTCTCGGATCTTGTGTGCATTGCTTGTCGGCTGTTGTTATATCCGGTGGATGATCGTTTCTACCTGGTGTCATCCCGGTGGCTACTTTTTGCTTTGAATCATATTTCAGCGCCTCCTTTGCATTACAGTTTAGCTGTTTTCCACACATCCTTTTCTTAAGTTGTCGCGCTTTGTTTTTGCAATTCTGGAAAATCCGGAAGGACATGGCTGATACAAGCTTCGGCAAAATTGCTAGCTCAAGTATGCGCATATGTCAGACATTTTCTTTTGACCAATATCATGCTAGCGGAACGGACCATCCGAAATGAATGACGGGACGCAATACGCATTATGGGACATGTGAGACATGTGACAGTGGTCGATAATGTGTTGATTCGATGTGTATTGAAGGTTTCAAATAGCCCCATTGTTCATCCGACTGAAAGCGGTCATTCCACGCATAATTGTCCATAGCGACTGTTACATTATCATCGAGATATTCAAAAGTGATTTGTTGAGGAATACCATTGTGAATACTCATTCCGACTGGCGGAGAGAGAAAGCCTAAAAGCTCCCTATTGTTTCATGCAATTCCAAGTCTCTTCACTTTCAAGGCTGATCAGTGGTCGTAACAGCCACGGGCACTGCGAAACAGCAAGTTGAAATTGTGGATGGAGTTCATCACACAGTACTGGTCACGACAGAAGCAGAGGAAAAATAAAGTGTTGTGGGCATAGATAACCCTGTCTGTACAATTAGAATTTCCACCGCTTGAAATTTAATTGCTGGAAGCCGTACTTTGCTCACCGGTACAAGAAACAGAGCGCTGGATAGGTGGAAATCTATAACACCCCTGGAACCCGGCCTAATCTGGTCTGATGAACGACATGAACAGGAAAAGAAGGTAGTGAACTATGGACTGCCTCACCCAAAAGCGTTATGGTCTCCACGACTATTTTACCAGTTATAAGCTGAGATCAATACCGGATGCGAGGATTATACGTGGCAAAACATCACTGATATTTTACAAAAATGCCAGCTAAGACTGAACGAGTAGCATCCTTCTACAGCCTGCGAAAAATATTTTAATTGGTTGATTCCATAAATGACTGAAAGACTCAAGACTTATAGATGGATTTCCCAGACCAATACCAGTATCTAGGTTAGATAACTCCAAGTTAGGGCCGATGTATATGATCAAAGGTGCAAAGTCGTCATGTGAAATTTCGAGCTGAATTATTCTGTTCCATGTCAACAACAAACCGCAGAAGCCAAACAGCGGAGTAGGGGTGGTACGTTTTCCTAGACTGGCATTGGTTTGATTGACCGTTTTTAAATAAAAGTAACGTTTTCGTGATTTTAAAATCCTACCAGTGTCGTGTAGATGAAAGTTTGTATGCAAACGACACGACCACCGTCCTCTGACACGTCACTGGTTTCTTCAGAACGGTGCACCCAGATGCAACACATACACAGAATGGTGAACTGCAACAAGCGGCTGAGCCGTCTGGATGCACTACTTATCAGAAGACGAAAGTAACTGATCCGGTAAACAGCAAACTTTATTTTGAACTGGACGATGCGGGAAATTCCACAAAATTCTCCTAGTGATATCAAGCGAAGTTGCTACAGCCAAGAGTATACCTGGTTAGCAATAGCTGCAGAGAATATTTTTAAAGGAAAACTGAAGAGGATTAAAAGAGCTTAACACCAATAAGCACCAAAGATAAACATCAACAATGTAGTCAGATAAATGTAGTGTCACAAGCGACCTCACAACCTTTGAGTCTTTCGCGCCTTTCTTTCTAAAGGCGATAACGTTGCTCTATACAGAAAGACCAGCTTCAAGGTGTGTCCAATCAAGAAGATCTGAAATTCGATGGTTCTGATGTTCGCCCAGCTGGGCAAGCTGACTGCAGACGTTTGGTCATTGGCGTAGGAGAATTGTCCATTTCATAGCAATAGCTGATGGATGCTAAATCCAAGCATCTAAGGAGGCACTCGGAACATGACAATTACATCTGTTGTACCCGTGGTACTAACACTCAAGTCTGATTAGTCATAATTTTAGCCTAATTATCCACATAATGAGGACGAAATGCGATATATTATACTCCTGGAGAAGCTTTCTCCATCCAGAAGTAATGATTCAAGTCAAGTTGAAAATGCGCTTTTATGCATCTATGACTGGTGCACTTTTAACCGAAACACACACGCCATGGACTTAATACGAAAGTTATGCAATAGTGGCAAAACAACAGCGAACGTTGCAAAGTTTTGCTAAATGTTAGCCTGCAGACAGTCATAATCGGCTTATTCCTGAGGATAATCGGACGGATGGCTATCGGACGAGTTTGGAAATCGTGACAATGTGCTATCATATGCAAGTGGTGTGAGAAGGCCCACATTAGAGCTAATAAATCGCTCATTAACTTGGTACAGGATTTCTGAAACCATGCCAGTGGCAAGCCTGCTTTAACACATTCTTCCGAAAAGGGATGCCACTACGGTTTTCGCGTACATGGTTTATGGAAGAAAAGGTATGCTAAAATACTTTGTCCCTTAAAGTAAATGGATATGAGGTAATCAGTGTCATGTTTACATGCATTCTCCTTATGTAAGGGAGTAAAGAATCACTTCGTGACCCAAAAGTATTGCTTCAGCGCGTGACATATCAACTGTTAAAACAAGGTACGTTCAGTTGGAGTATGTGCACTGGAAACCAGATGAGAGTGGGCGGCAAGCTTGGTTGTTTTGTGAAGCTGGTTGAATGGATTTGTCATCAGAATACCTTCTGCACACAGTAAGCGAATAAACGACGTTCATCGAATGTCAGCACGGAGCACCACGCTTGTCCCTTCCGCTTACACATAAAGCTGATGAAAAATCACATCTACATTATCCAACAAGTCCTGAAAGCATATTTATGTGTATGCCACTATTTTGGCTGACTTTATCTTGGATACCATTATAAATTCATTTAAACTTAATTTAGGGCGCAGAAAGTCGCTATTGATCGTGCAAAGTTTGGCAGTTATCACAAAACGTGTCAGATGATCAAATGCTTGAAGACACTTGGCATCACTGACCATGATCCCATTCGCCCCAGTGGGCTGCTGGCCAAGTTACTTGCACCGCATGGGCGACCTTCGCCTGGATTCACAACTACGGTTTTATCAAGCTTATACATACCGCTTCAGTGGTGGCAAGTATCCGTGCCTCTGACTGATGGCTTAGTTGCAACGGTACTCCGTGGAGTGTTAAAAGAGCATTGCGTTTGCCAATTAAATGACCAATGCAGGTTAGATGGTTAAGTGTTGCCATCAAATTCGCTCTGTTCCGGTGGTAGCTGAGCGAATTTGGTTGATGTTTCTTTGATTCGCTTTTCTCTGTCTGGCCAGGCATGTAATGTTCAGTTGTTCATTTGTTCGCCTAGCTGCGAAATTTGTTTGCAAACTTTTCACCGCCATGCGAGACGGCATTATCAGTGCGTCGAGATGTGGAGTGTAATCGCGCTGATTGAACTGTCGATCCGTGATCGGCGTGCAGGAGACTTTTCGAAAGTGATGGCTTCAACGTGTGTCCAGTGATCTCTACCCGTTTTCTCGTGGCGGAGGTCGTCGCTTGGGTTGTTCCTATTCAAGCGGCGTCTCGTAATTTCTCTAAGTTCTCTCCGTCGGAGGGGTTGGTAAAATGGATCAATCTCGATATGCATGTTGATCGAGTCTTTTGTTGAGAACCACGCTTCCAGGAATTCCCTTGCTCTCGTTGTTTCACATCGTGCCAGGACTTCTGTTTTGGCCAAATCAAAGCTGTGCTTTTTTCATCCACGTGTGCTGGGACTAGAGAAGATGCATAGTACCTTTTGCAGGCTCTTTGTGCTCTTGTAATCATGTTGATAATTTTCTGCCTGTTTTGCCAACAGAGTCCTTTTCTCAATTTCTACAACTTAGTCTACATACAACATTACTTTGCTCATGAAGTTCCAGTTTCTCGTTCAGTTTCGACACAGTTTTTCTCAATGTAGCAGTTGGTTTGTGTGCTACAATGAGGTGATGTTTGAATAATCTTGCTGCCATTTCGGATAAATTCTTCATATAAGGTAAAACAACGCGTCTCTCCGTCGTTAGTGCAGACTGTCTGTTTGGTTTGTTGTGGTTCAGACACCTTCGGACGAAGCTTCGTGGCTATCCGTTGAGTTGGAAACATTTAAATAGATGCTTCTCTTCTTGTTGATTTGCCTCCGCAGTACTGCAGTGTGTTTGCACTCTACCAAATAGTGTTCACACACAGCTTACTTTGTGGCATTTCGGGTGGTTGCTGTTAAAGTTTAGAATTTGGTCTGTATGTGTCCATTTTATGTCAACTGATGTTTGCAGCCTCCCTTCCATGGTTTTGGTTACTAATACATCCAGCAAAGGCAGTTGGTTTTCCTTCTCCATTTCCCTCGTAAACCGGATGTCTTCAATGGCGTTGTTCAATAGCTGCTCTGCGACTGTAACTTGATTGCGTTTGATGATCACAAAAGTGTCGTCAACATATCGGACCCACAGTTTCGGATTAATAAGTGGGAGTACATCTCCCTCCAATTTCTGCATTACCATCTCCGCAAGGAGTCCCGATATAGGGGATTCCATTGGCGCGCCTTTCAATTGCTCGTAGATCTTCCCGTTGAAAGAGTAGGTGAAACATTTGTAAGCAAATTTTGCAGCTCGGCGAACAAATGAGCAACTGAATTATCAACCCGAGTTATCAGTTTTCAAAACATTTTAAATGCATGTGATGTGCTAGGCCCCGCAGGAGCAGGTGAACTTATGGATAACGACTGGTTAGATTTTATCAGACACCTTTGAATCTAGAAGAAAAACGATTTACTCCTAAAAGTGACGTAAGCCGATTGGCATTAAAGGTCTTTCTGCAGGTTTGTATCAGTTGTCATGCACATATATCATCAGCTATGTTAATCTTGTAGGGTAGTTTGAGCGATAGCTGTTTATGCTTGCTCGTTTGCATTGCGAATCTCGAGCTGCTTGGATTCACATGGGCGTCAACGGAGCGATCTACATACTCGTTTCCGGGGAGCATATGCATGATTCGCCTCAGCTTATCCCACTAGTCTATTCGCTACTGATCATGCGCGCTCGGTTTGCCAGAGTATGCAACGGGGTTCATTAACTAACAAACGGAACAAAACTCTGTGGGTGTATTGTCCTGACCAGTATAGTTCCCAGTACAGTCATATCTGAGCTGAATCGTCTTACTTCGCCTAGTTTGCACCAAGGCAATTTACTTGGTTGTTACTCTCTTTTTCAGCTGTGTATGTGGCATTAG